ACGTACACACACACACACACTCACAAAGACGTATATGCAGACACACACACACACACACACACACACACACACACACACACACACTCACACACACACATACACACACACAAACACACGCACTCAATGTACACCATTGACAGGCATGCCTTTAAATAATCAGGCTTGTGTATTATCTTTCCCATGACTCCCATACTTTGTGCTTTCAACAGAACACCGCTGAGCTCTGTGGAAGAGCTTGTATGTCAGCAGAATAAACATGCTGGGCCTTTGGCTTTTGCCGGCTCTGCTTATGGGAATGAAATCCGCAGCACCAACCCTTGACTCTCAGCAAGAAGGGGAAATCAAAACCGAGCAAGGGAGAGGAGACAACATTATAGAACACAGACCTTACGCAGACACTACAGCTGCACAAGAAAGCTTCTCTGGTTTTACCAATCACGGTCCCTTTGATCAATTTGTGTACCACAAGCCTCCGTCAGATTTAAGAAAAAATTGTAGTGTGGAAGGCACAAGGGCGTATTGCTCTCATTTGCACCTGGAAGAAGTACCTCAGAACCTAGACCCCAACATCACACTTCTGACTCTGGCGTACAACAACCTATCAGCTGAATCCCTGCATCCGGGTGTCTTCTCAAGATATTCAAAGCTACGATTTCTTTATCTAGACTATAACTACATAACAACATTGCCAGACGGAATTTTTGATGGTCTCACACAACTAGAATATCTCAGTTTGTTCCATAACCAAATTCAAATGAATGACGCTCTAAGGACATCTACTGTGTTTTCACCTCTGAACAGCTCGTTGTTTACTCTGATTCTTAGTCAAAACAACAATGCTTCTGACCCTTCTTTGCGCTACCCGGATCAGGCGTTGTCAAATCTGACAAATCTAACAGTTCTGTATATGGATGGGCTACGCTATGACTTTCAGCTTGGACAAGGCTTTCAAAATCTAACAAACCTAAGAAACTTAACAATGACAGGTTATCTAGACGGTAACTGTGAGATAAACACTTTGGAAAACAACACGTTCGAGTATGTAAGAAGCCTGCATTTTCTCAATTTATCGGATTGCACTTTGTCTCCTGATAGAGTTCACGAGGAAACCTTTTCTTTCCTTACAGAACTCCGAGGACTTGACATCTCCAACAACTTTGGATTAGGGATCGATACCGTTGGCAGGTTCATGAAAGGTTTAAAAGACAACAAGAACTTCCGATATCTGTTTATGCAGCGAATTACCACCCGTTTTGCTTCTTGCATCGTGGTGTATAGAGAAACATTGCAATACTTCGCCAATACAAGTCTAGAGGTGATCTTTGCCCCGAACAACGAGATTGAGATGATCGAAATTGGGGCCCTCGAACACTTACCTCCAACACTACGTTTTGTAAACTTCACCAACAACAAGAACAGCTTTGGAGCTTACTGGAAGGATATGGCGTCCCTGACAGGTTTGGAAGAGCTGTACATTGATAACCATCAGCTTGCATACTACTTTCCAGGAAACTTCCCACCGTCAGATCTTCATTGTGGGAGGGGCAACTCCACGGCTAGAAACCATTCTCCAAAAAGTACCAAGTGTCTCTGTGGGGAGCCACCCCCGTGTATGGACCTGAACGCCACAGATGGGATCATTCTCCCTCTTCCACCTAACCTGAAAGTATTTTCCTCTCGAAGTAACTCGGTTGCCTACAGGTTGAAGAAGATCAATTTCTGTCCAAATAACTCCCTGGAAATTGTTGATTTTAGCTCCAATATGTTTCAGCGACTAGAAGGAACAATAACTGGACTGGAACATTTGAAAAGCCTGGCTCTGACCGATAGCTTCATCCAATTCATAAGTGATTCCTTTTTTGATTCTTTTAAAGCACTTAAAAGTTTGAACCTGTTTCAAAATCTTCTTGGCGATCGATTAGCCTTTGACACTAACGGAAACATCTTCGACAGCCTCGAACAACTCACATACTTAAACATATCTTTCAACAATATATTCAGACTGCACAAAGACACGTTTAGAGGAAATAGCAAACTACAAGTTTTAGATATTTCAACAAATCGTTTGAGATTCGTTAATTTCTCTATCGCACACATGGAAGACTTGAAATTTCTCGACTTACATAAAAACAACCTTTACAGTCTTCCTCTGCCGGCTCGAAAACACATCAGCCTACTTCTACGACAAAACAAGACAGTGAGAGTGAGCATGGCAAGCAACCCCATCATGTGTAACTGTGACAACTTGGATTTCTTGGAGTGGGTCGTAGAGACAAAAATTTTCGGGGCCAATTTCTCAGAACTTTTTTATTATTGTTCATTTCCTGGAGTTGACATCTCCAAACGCATGGAGAGTGGTTATGAGGACATTGTGCAGACTCTGAGAAGGCAATGCGCGAATCACGTCGTTATCTTCTTGGCCGTGAGTGTTGCTTGTCTCGTTGTTGTCATAGTGATCATCATTGCTCTCATACACCGCTTTAGATGGACGCTGCGCTACTGGTACCATGCTGCTAGGTCCAGAATAGACGCCGGGCGCTCTACCTCTTCCGACGAATCAAGATTTGAATTTGACGTCTTTGTGAGCTACGCACACGACGACACTGACTTCGTGCGACAGGTAATTCCCCTCCCTCAGTTTAAAAAAAAATTGTTTCGTGTCCCTATTAAATTTCTAGGTTACATATTACAATTTGTTAACATGGTAGCAAACGTTACGTTTCCAGGAACATTCACTCAGACACTCACACACACACACACACACACACACACACAGACAAACACACACACACACGCACATACACACACATACACACACAAACATAAACACAAATACATTGTACACACACAAACACACACGAAATCAGGAAAAATGTTTGGGCCTAAATAAATCTCTCTCTATCTATAAATTTCATGAACGCCATGGAAAACGCAACATTTCCAAAAAGTATTTTAGGAGACACAAGTGAGTAATTAGTCCACACGCCCATGCACGATTTTTGCAATTTCCATGACTACTTTTTATTACGGCACATTAAACTGTTCTTTGGTAAAAATGTGTTCATTAGTTGCTATATTACAAACGAGTAAAAAAAATTACCCGAAAGATGCCCGTTGCTCTTTACAAACTTAAGTCCCAGCTTTTTTTCGATCAATTATTTATCATTACAAGAATCCTCAACTTTGCGAAGCTGATCGCAACTTTCGCTTCCACCTTGTTCATGGCGGAAAATCTGCCTGAGAAGCAGCAATAGAGCTACAATGCAGTGCTTGTATTGTTCTCGACTTATACAAAGATTTAAGCACACTTGAAATGTCCGGGATGGACAAAGAATATGACACGGACAGTCTCGAGTGTCCAGCCCTGTTCAAGAGAGACAGATTTTGCTGTCGCATTTGCGAAATCGTTTCGTTCCCCGAAAGTAACAGCTCAAGGCATGCATGGAGTGCGTGAGAATGTTTTTTTCATCAGTGTGAGGTGCGGAGTAGTAAGTTCAGGATTTAGACAAAGAACGCCTTATTTAGAACAGCATGCAATTAATGAAGCCACGACAAGAGAACCGTCTTCAGTGTGCAAAACAGCGTACAAAAAATCAGAATCTCTCAGTCATCCAACACGACACTCCTGCCCTTACACTGCCCATGTAACAAACAACACAGTTTCTGGAAGATCATAAAATGAATGTCATGGACTGGCCAGTGTTCGTACCGGACATGTCTTCAGCAGCGCACGTATGGGATGAACTGAATTGCAAAGTGTGTGCCGTTTTGCGAATCTGCAATTATTGGGAGATCGCGCTGAGGCGAAAGTGGGACAGAGTTTCTCAACAAAACATTGAAAGTTATAAAATCCATGTGAAGATGTCTTTTGGTCTGTATTCATGTTAATAATGGCCATACAATTTACTAAGAGTGAGAAATCTTTATTGAGTTTCGATTTGTGTTTATCTGCAAATTTGTCTAAAGGGGGTACAGGTACTCGGAAAGAAAGAGGACAAGGCAACGAAATCAATTGAAGTGTGTCATCAAAATGGTTTACATGTGTTGGAAAATTAATGAACTTTAAAAATCACTTCTGTTAATGTATCTTCGTTTGACACAAACGCGTTCAGACTCTGCGAACGAAGTGTTGCGTTTTTAAGGGCGTTATTCTTTTTCAAATTCAACCCAGAACAGAAGGCAGCAGCAGCTTCTTTTCTTACAGACCCTTTGTTTTCCTCACGCTTTGTTCCTGTGTGTAGTGTAAAGGAATTACCCTGTTTTGTAAGTGTTTTACGGCGCTTACAACTGCAGAGGACGTTTCAAAATTACTAAGGGTTCGGATCCCTAACAAGACCATCTACGGTTTTACTCATTTGTAGGCTAGTCACCAGTTTCCCTTGGTTCTATCAGAGATGAGTGCTAAATAACACTCACTTTCTAAAGGGGGCGTTACGTTTTTACTATGCGTCGTTTTGCCACACTGCTGTCGTTTCGTTCTTTCTTGCAGGCGACAAGAAGATACGGAGAAACCTGCTCTTACCGCCACCTGTCCAAGGCAATCAGCTGTACTGGCCACTTCCTACCTACCCCCGCCCCCCCCCTGTGTTTTATCTATCTTAATGGCAGTGTCCAAAACGTTTACCCTCAACAATAGATGGCCCGATTTTTGTTGGGCCCAACCGATAGGGCAGACTGTCATGTCTGCAGTCCGCTGGTGATAACATTCTCCTTTGTAAACTTTTTCAAAACTACGTCTTGACGTGAATAGAATATCAAATTCGAAACCAGCTTATCAAATTTAATATAATGACTCGCTGATGACTATTTTTATTACTGGATTTTGAAGATCACAAAAGAGAAGTAGTTTTGCTAAGATTGCATCATGTGTCATGGTCTTATCACAGAGACGACGAACAACTGAAATAATAATAATAATGATAATAATAATAACACTACTACTACTACTACTATTACTACTACTACTACTACTACTACTACTACTACTACTACTACTACTACTACTACTACTACTACTACTACAAAAGAGAATGATAAAGAAAAAAAGGATGATGATGATGATGGTGATGATGATGATGATGATGATGATGATGATGATGATGATGATGATGATGATGCTGATGATGATGATGATGATACGAAAGATACGATACATCTTCCTTCACCTCAAAACAACCCCTCACAAACCCCCCAGAACCACCCCTGCAAGAAACCTAGGTGCAAAACATGCCCTTACATGACAGAAACCAACCATGTAGAGGGACCTCTCTTCAAAAAAGTTCTTACAGATAACATCAACTGCGAAACTAAAAATGTAATCTACTTAATAACATGCAATATATGCTCTGCCCAATATGTAGGACAAACCACCACCACTCTTAGGGCCAGATTTAACAATCACAGGTACTCAGTACAAAACCACTCAGGCACCCCAGTCGGCCAACATTTCAA